GCTCACCAGGATCGGCACGAAGCTGCCGCGCGCACTCCTGGTCGTGGTCCCCCGCTTCTTCCCCCCTGCAGGGGGGACGGGAGAATGCGTCTCGGAGGCCTCCCCTGTGGCCTGCTGGGACGGGCCGCTCCCCTCGCCCCCCCCCCCCCCCCCCCCCCCCGCCCCGCCCCCCCCCCCCCTCTTGTGTGTCGGCGGGGCGATCGGCATGGGTACCGGTGGAGGCGTTCGTTGAGGAATTCGGGAGCCTCGAGACGGGGGTCAATGCAAAAGGGGGGTCAGCCAGAGCGCGGGAACTTGCAGGATCTTGCAGGGCCAGGGTCGCGTTGACCCGGGTTTGGGTGCAGGATCCTGCAGAATTTTGCAGGATCCTCCGCATTGACCCGGGTTTGGGTGCAGGATCTTGCAGGATTTTGCAGGCCTGATTGACCCGGGTTTGGATTGACCCCGGTCAGAAGATCCCCGAGGAATGTGCCCAGTAGGCTGCAGGCCCTGGAGGATTCCTTCTCTCGCGAGGGTGGCGGCGATGTCCATGGCTGGTCCACGATGGGCCGTCCGCTGGCTTCCAGACCCTGGATTCCTGGCCGAAGGCTGCCTCATCCGATGCCATCACGGTGCGGAAAGAGTGGACACGATGCCCGGCAGCAGTTCGGGTTCATTTTGAACAGGATTCGTTGCCCGCGCCGCCGCGGACGTTGGCCATTGAAGACCAAAAACCGCCCGTCCCACCGGCGCCCTTAACGAATACCCCCACCGTATGCAGCGCTGCACCGCCCATGACGCCACAGAAACGAGTCAGAGTTCGAGCTTCCATGAACGGCAGGGAGGAGGAGCGCGGGCGGGAAGCCGCCCATCCCACCAGCGGCCGCTGCCGATTCTGGACCGCATGTGCTGTTCTGTTGGGCACTGTACCCATTTCTGCCGTACCCACTTTTCGGGCGTCCACATTTCAGGAGGGGAAACAACACACAGACACAATTGATCGTCGATTCCTTCGAAAATATTGGAAAACATGGGAAGTGTGGGGGGGGAAGACAACAACCCTTCAAAACATGGGAAGATATGGGGAACCCTGTTACTTGTGTCTGTTTAATTGTGTGTCCCAGGGCCCTTTCAAGACTGTGCGCGCTAGCAACCCCAAGTCTTATGATGTTCCGTCCTACTTCAGCCTTGGCCACCAGAAAGAATCTCGAGCACCACGAACATACCGAAACTTTGGGGTTTTCGCGTGCCGGGCCCAGTGGGGCGATACTCGTTCGACGCTCTTTCGATACTTTTCTGGGTGCTCGAAATGCCAGGCGGAATTCGTATGAGCCGCTTGTTGGTTGTCCTCCCTCCTTCCTCCTTCTCCTCCTCCTCCTCCTCCTCCTTCTTCCTCCTCCTCCTCCTCCTCCTCCTCATCCTCCTCCTCCTCCTCCCCCTCTCCCCCCGCATGTTGTAGATTGTGCGACCGCCGACGTGCCGTGCTGCCGCTCCCGCCAACCGGTGAGGGTTGGCCGGCCGTGCCTTGTTTTCGCCCACGCGCTTCGGCGTATGGCACGAGTGTGCGTGTGTTAAATTATTTCTGGGATTTGGTCCTTAAGTTTGGATGCCCGAAATGGGTACGGAAAGAATGGGTACAATGCCCAACAGCATTTCCTGTTCATTTTGAACTGGGCTCGCTGTCCACGCCGCCGCGGCCTGTGTCCATTCGAGACAGAAGGCCGCCTGCCCAACAGCGGCCGCTGTTGGTCTGGGGCAACATTTGTTGTTGGGCATTGTACCCATTCTTTCCGTATCCATTCCGGGCATCCTTGGATGTGCGTGTGTCTGTTTGTGTGCCCCAGGGCCCCCTCACAGACGACCTCCCCCCGAAACAAACGCTGGGCCGGCGCTCTTCTTGGCCCCCGTGCCGCGCAGCTCCGGCCCCGCTTCTCCGGGGCTCCTCTCGCCCCTCCCGCGCGAGCACTGACGCTTTTGGCCCGGGTCTGCTTTTCACGACCCGTCGGGGAGGCAGGCCCCGGGTTTCGGGGGGCCCCAGGCGGGGTGGTGGCCACACCGTGCGGTGAGTCGGTGGGGATTCGGGGTCACCGCACGGCGTTTGGGACGTGAGTTGCTCTGCGAGGACGTCTCGGGCGACCGGGGCATCCGAGGTCCCTCCAAAACCGTGCTTGGACGGACCGTGCGGTGAGGTCTCGGGGGAGTTCTCGAGGTCACCGCACGGTCTGTCACCGCACCGTTTCGGGACTCCAAGAGGTTTCTTGAGTCAAACATCGGAAACTGGAGCATAGACATTACCAGTGGCGTGCCGTTTCTCAACCCCTGGACTTCCTGAGGGTCGCGGGCGACGTCGGGGTGGCGTGGTGCATGTTTGTTTCCCAGTGTTCCGGGGGAAATGATGAAACATGCATGCGCCAACATCTCGTATGCACCAGGATCTGCTCTCCCGTGCGAGTTGCTGTGCAGGGCCAGAGAGTGCGTCGGTGTGTAGAGAGCTCGGTCCCCTAGAGAGCAGTTCTTGCTCCTGCTTCCAGGTGTGCACGCGCTGGGGGTGCCGCTCTCTCTCCCTCTCTCTCTCTCTCTCCCTCTCTCCCTC